TGAATGTTAAACATAACACTATAACACCTGATGAAGCCACTTTATCTGTACACTAAATGTTAAACATAACACTATAAAACCTGATGAGCCACTTTATCTGTACACCAAATGTTAAACATAACACTATAAAACCCGATGAAGCCACCTTAACTGTTCACTAAATGTTAAACATAACACTATAACACCTGATGAAGCCACTTTATCTGTACACTAAATGTTAAACATAACACTATAACACCTGATGAAGCCACCTTAACTGTTCACTAAATGTTAAACATAACACTATAACACCTGATGAAGCCACTTTATCTGTACACTAAATGTTAAACATAACACTATAAAACCTGATGAGCCACTTTATCTGTACACTAAATGTTAAACGTAACACTATAACACCTGATGAAGCCACTTTATCTGTACACTAAATGTTAAACGTAACACTATAAAACCTGATGAGCCACTTTATCTGTACACTAAATGTTAAACGAGTGAACAGTTAAGGTGGCTTCATCAGGTGTTATAGTGTTAAAATGTTAAACATAACACTATAAAACCTGATGAAGCCACTTTATCTGTACACTAAATGTTAAACATAACACTATAACACCTGATGAGCCACTTTATCTATGTTGTTGTTGGACTTAGGATTCTTCTACAGTTGGTGTCTGTGACTTGTTATCAATACATTCAATGATAAATAAACAGCGCACACTTCACTTGTTTTCAAAATAATATATATATTCGGAACAAGTTAAACGTATGTACAACAAATTCTTTACACTATAGAGATTACAGGCATATCATAAACACTGTATGTATAGTTCTCTTCTTCTTGTCAAAAGTCCACTTAGGCCTATTCAACTGATAAGCTGAACTACCATTCTCTATATCTATCGCATTAGTATTCCATGTATAATTCACTTACTCTGCCTCATTGAGTTACTGCAGTTGTATCCTGAACTTCAGATACTCGTCTGCTTTTTCATATTTAGGCCTACTTCCAATAATCATCTGCTTTTTTTGTCAAAGTCCTCATAGGCAGGTTCAATTGCTTTAGAACACCCTTTGACACAACAAATTATTCTCCTAAAGTGTCATAAAACTGTTAGTCTCACTTTAACGTATCAACCGTTAGACTATTCACTCTTATGACGGTTAGCTTTACGTTTTCTAACCTTTTCTTTGGCCGCACTTCTACTTCCCATTCTCTGGTCTCTCGTTTGTTCTGTCTGTCTGCAGTTTCCACTCGTCTCACACTATTTATATGTTTATCACTTAATCGTCTGCCCACTATATCCTCAACATCAATAAATTTCACACGATGTTCAATAATCTTGACATCAATGAGTTATAAACACAACATACGACTCTTACCAATTTACATGTCTAAACTTGTCATAACATTTACTTTCAAATAATTGCTTCTAACTCTTTTGTTATGGACAAAACTAAACAACCATAAATTATTCACTCACAAAATAAATTAATCAATAATATCTACACTAGACAGTCATTTATATCATGACAGTGGTTTTTCTGCCACTGACCACCAAATTTGTTTTTTTATATACAACCACAACACCAAGAATAGACATACACAACGGCTTCATCAGTCTTTCTGCCAATCATGAGAAATAACATTTGACGTTGTTTGGTATTGCATTTCTCAGTTTATTGTTCAACGTGTCAGAAAAACAGCAACAGGATGTAAGGTAATGTATCACCTGTAGGCCACAAGTAACCTAACTATGACTTTCAAGAAGAAAAAACACTGGCCAATTACATAAACATCAGGAACATTATGGTCTTAGAGCAGTTAATGAATGGCCTCGGTCTTCATTAAGTTTCACTTTCTCTTATGAATTAAAGCTGCAAGATATTTGGATAATTACAGTGGTGTTGTATTACCCTGTAGGTACTTAGAATGTTAACAAATTGTTGGGTTCCCCTCTAAATATTCATAACATTACACCAGTGTTAGATTCCCTTCTGAATTCTCATTTTGTTACAGCAGTGTTTGATTTTCCTCTATATATTCATATCATTACAGCAATAATGGATTTTTTCTGAATTTTCTTATCATTGCAGAAGTGTTGAATTCCTCTCTCAACTCCCATATTGTTATAGCAATTTTAGAATGATTAGTGCTCTAAAAAACATTCTTTCCATAAAGTATCCAGACATGAAAATCAGACACAGATGTGACCCAAAACATTATCATCCACTGCATTTCTTCTGAGATTCAATCCACCCAATCTTTTCAAAACCAAAAACCCTGAATATAAGATGCCATGCTGTTTTCTGCTTATCCTAAGATATATTTTCCAAGGATTTACACCAAGAGTTAACTTTCTACTAAATTTCTAAATGTTATACAGAAATACACTCCTGCAAAAGATGTTATAGTGTTGTTTAACATTTGGTGTACATATATATTATGTATGAAAGCTATATTAACGACAGAGAAGATTCAATTCTTATAAGCAGGTATTTTTACCTTTGTTAAGAATTTTGTTTTTTGCTCCATTTCCTCAAGTTTTTCTTTCAGATGAATGTGGTTTTCCCATAATTCTTTGTACTGTTTTTCTAAACTAGTATATTTTTCTGAAGAAAAATAGTAAAGAGTTAATTAACCAATACAGTTCTCACCACACAAAAATTACTCTTAAAGTAACAGTCCTGTTCTAATTAAATATACTCAACAAAAATCTCAACTGAAGAAAGAAAATTCCATAAAACAATAAAAAGTTAAGTATTTTAAATCATATACAACTGCATTCTCTATGTATAAATCAAATACATTTGCATTGTTACTAAGGCTTAAAACAGTGGAAGAGAGCAGTCCACACACTTGCCTATAGCATTATTTTTAAGACAGGCATTGCCAAGTACCTTTTGGTAGTTTAGTAATTAAATATTTTTATTATATGTATGTAAAATTCAACAAATGGCCCCCCTCCAGATATGTTGCTATTACTTTTGATACCTGGATTACAGAAATTGTAAATCAAACTACTGCTTTGTTTAATAAAAAATTAAAGGTATAAAAAATTTTTATTCTTTATACTGAAAATGTTTACAAGTAGTTATATCTTTAGAACAACTAGTAACCTTGTATGATTGACATTATTATTAATGGCTGGCCTAAAACTGGACATCAACCTACTGTAATCTATTACAAACTGTCAGCTGATTTTCCTATTTCTGCATTTCAAAGCTACACAGTTGTTTTACATTTTATATATATGAATGCCAATTAAATTCATTTTATGTATTATTTTAAAATAAATTGTGTCTGTCACTGATTGATGAACCAGGTGGTGATTTGGCTTCACTAAGTTTTAACCTTTCATTACCATTCTAAATGTATTGGTCAAGGTGACTGTCAGAAACTAAGTTATGTTTGCCAATTGTCAATTAAAGGCTTTTACTTATATTTCTTAATAGTATAAATATATGTTGTTGTTGGACTAAGGATTCTTCTACAGTTGGTGTCTGTGACTTGTTAGCAATACATTCAATGATAAATAAACAGCGTACACTTCACTTGTTTTCAAAAAACTGATATTAGGTGTGTTTATGTGTCCCTGTCATTAATATAGCTTTCATATAAACTGATATTAGGTGTGTTT